CTGTTCCAGGCGTTTTAAAAATGTTTGGAAAACGAAGCATCGAGAGCACACTTTACGGGTACATTTACGACACGTTTTTGCATATAGAATTCTTGCTCGGTTGTATCTATTTTGGAAAACGTCTAAAGATCTTGTTTAATAAGTCCCTGTTTCGAGTCTCGGGGTCGATAAAGACTATTTGCTCGTTGGATAATGATTTTCCCGGGACGGCGTGGAAGTGATTTGGCCCCGGTCGAAGTAGTTCAAAATTCTCGATCACGGTAACAAGACAAACAAGGGCAAGAGGTTAGCCGTGCCCTGTGGCTAGGCGCCGCAAGATGTGTCGCAGCCCTAACCGTCTCGTTCTCCGCTACGTCGAGCATCGTGTAACCCGGCTTCTCCTTGGTCCGGGGGGCTTCTTCAAAGTCCTCCAACTCGTCTACCTTTAACTATATACCGTCCTTAAGTTCCGCGCGAACAGTCGGGTTGCTTCTACAAGCCGAAGTTCGCGTTCGCGTTCGCCTTCGTCGCTTCCTCGTGTACCTCATCCCCTAACGTTTCTCTTATTTTAACCGTGATCCGATTGTCTCTGTCTCTCCCACGTCTTGGATCCTCAAGACGACGGTCTTCGACTCCCTGCTACTGAATTTCCCGTCAACCACTCGATATCAGACGCAGGAACAGTTCGTAACGCTTGGCGATCAGTTTTAGCGACGTCTAGGGGTTAATTCGCGCGAAAATCTCAGCTTTCGAAACCGAGAATATCGTTATTATTTAAGGGAAGTTTGAGAACCACCGTTACCAGATCGTGACGACATTTTACACTAAATACAACTTCCTTTCTTTCGTATGGTGATTCCGTACGAGGAACGTGACACTTGTAATTTCTTTGCTTTCGTGTGCTCAGCGTTCATTTGCATAGAGGGTGAGTCATCCGGAGGGGATCGAACGAACCCTCGCTCATAATCCATACTTTCCCCGTACGAGCATTTATAAATAGTATTTCTAATACCTTCCACGACGTTTCTCTCGAGCCGTAAAATTATTTTATCTAAAAAATTCAACCGATTTCTGTGAGACACCGAGGGCTTAGAAGACTTACGTCGGTTAGTCGCGACGTCTTACAAGGCCGTGTTATCAGCGTAATAATTTCGGATAATTGGGGGTACCGGTTTTAACGCGTCGACCATTCCATAAAATGGAAGCTAATAATTCCCTGGGACATTTTTCTTGGAGCGTGGAAGTTTTTACACGGCTTAATCGAGCCGCGTTTCTCGTTTACCACCCCCCGCGACGAGGACCCTCGAGTATTCCAGGCATTCGCGGCGCTGAAGGGTTGGCATCTCCGAAGCCAGTCAGACGGGAGCCTAAAAAGAGATCCGCCTTGTGAATGACGATTATCCGTCAGTGACTCGGGCTCGGTTGCCGGCGACGAAGGTTACAAATACCCTGGGGCACCCTTCCACGAGCCGGGGAACACTGTCCTTGTCTCACCCCTAGACGCGGGCCATTCATCGTAAATTAAACGCGAAGGGACCTAATGACAGACGCCGCCTATTCCACTTGCGCACGTTGGGGACTAACTATGGATTTTCGGTTCCCTCCTTTCGCCAGTTTTCGACCCGAAACTTGCCGCGAATTTCGGTTCGCGAAACGATAACGAGATTAGCTTTTTAAACGTTTTGCGGCGGGGCTAAATCCCGCCCTTGGAGACCGTCAGATTAAATTCAACGCGTACGCGGCTTAAAACATCAAATTCCCTGTGAAGGTTTGCGGCTGAGTAGCAATTCGAGTTCAGTTTCGCCACCATTGAGGAAATTATGTTACAGAATTTAAATCCCGGTTGAAATTTTAGCAATAAGTGGATCGGGTCTCTATTTTTGACAGTTCGAACTAATATAACTTTTAATTGTACGTACATTTATACGATTATTATTATTGGATGTTTGCAACTGAAAACTGTTATTTGATTTCCACAATCTCCATTGTATTCTCTGTTCGAACACTTTCCAACTTTATATTACGATAGAAATATCACTGTCGGACCACGCGTCGATCTATTCCACTCAGACAAAGCGCTAGTCTGCTTGTCTGGCCAGATAACGTACTATTCTACTTATCTGATCAGATACAGCCTGATCACCTACTTGTCTCGCCTATACTACTTGTCTGTGCAATCACTTCGCTATACTACCTTCGTCTAGGTGAATATACCTCCATGCACCTCGCCTACTCGAGCGTTTCCCCATTCTGTCAGTCTGATCGAATATTGATCAATTCTACTTGTTTGTCGAATCACATTCGCAATACTCGAAATCTCAAGATTCTAATTATACAACATCACCATATTCGAATACTTTATTTACTTCATTCGAACAATTCATTAATTTTAATATTTAAAGAAACTAAACAATTTCCTCCTGTTCCCTGAAAGAAACGTTTTCTTAAGCTTTAACCAGAAAATATCGTATTTATATCCGTTTTCAAAAAGATCCCAACTTTCTGTATCTTTTTGTTCAACTAAGAACAGCCCGAGGGTAGTTTTCTTTCAAGAAATAGCGATTATTTCGCTGCGCAATTAACGATGTACCAAATCTGGGCGAAAGGAACTAAAATTTGAATAAAATCGTCGCGATGAATGTTTTCTCATCTGCCGGGTGAATTAGACGCGGAATGAAATTTTTGTCGCCGGTAGGGTTGGCTCCGGGGTTTCGTCCCTTCGCGCTCCGGGCGTCTTAAACACACGGAGGAAGTTTCTTCATAAAACGTCGACGCCCTTCTTAATTTCTTGTTTCCTTCGCGGGCGTGTTTTCTTTGGTGATCGTAAAAACGCCTCGGGCCGCGAGGGTTCGGCCGGATATAGGAAATCGTCGCGCGAATATAAAATCAGACCCCCGTCACGCCCACGCGTTCCCTCGGTCAATTGCACGTTTGTACGAGCACTCACACGCGCACGCGCCCAACAACCGGAAAGAAATGCCAATATTTTGTTACGGGATTATGCGACGGATTACGTCTGTGCGGCTCTGACTCAATATTTATCGAAATATCCTGACTGTGTGTATTTTTATCAACACATTGGGGTAATACGTTCGATCGAAAGCGCTCGACAAACAGAAATTAATACGATCAACAGATCTCAAACATTCTTTTTTCATAGATAAACTGAGGTTAAACTATTTTATGATTTTTTTAAGGTGAGGATTCAATCTTCGCGAAGGAACGATTTTCTGGGTGAATTTTCAGTTTTAAACGTCGAATGTTCCAAACGGAAATGCTCGAACTATATGGCGATTGCTCAACGTCGTAAACTTTGCTCGGGATAATCGATTCTATCGCGACTTCTCCACACCTGATCGACGCTTGACAATTAGTGGAGTCTCCTGCTATCCTTCACGGCGGTTGACTGCCACAGCACTCGAATTCGCGGTTTGAATGGAATTGGGACCGCACGCGATTAAATTCTCCCTCGCTCTCGTTACCCGATCGTCCGAGAAGACGTCGTTTCGTCCCTGTCCTTGTTTCTTCGTCCGTATGCGGGGAGAAACGGTCCTTCTGTCTCCTCAGACAACCGGGAGCAAAGATGTCCACCGTATCTGACGGTCGTAGGACAATCAATTCGTCCTAATTGAAATTAGGAGAATTCAAATTTCCCGACTCGAAGGTTCCGGTCCAAGCAATTCCGTAGAAACGTGGTGCATGGTGTACATTGACTTCGAACTGTTTGATTAGTTCTTCCTTTGTATACAATAAACTGTTACAAAGCCTAGCTTCAAACTGGCCAGTTCTAAATAACATTATTCTACGGATGGAATAGAAATTCTTGTGTTCTATTCAGTTTTGCTTCTCGAAATTGAAATTGCAGAAATGTGTAGTTTTATAAAATTGTTCGGCCTGGAAAGCCCTCGTACGCGTCGGAGTGGAACCGATATTCGGTCCCCTCCCACCCGGTGGAACCGTTCGATCATTTCGAAATTCTCGATCATCGCGGTCCCGCGAAATAATTAAACAACAACCGCGTAATTGTCCAGATTAAGAGTGTTCGGTGTCAACCGTTCGATCGGTCGAGCTGTCGATGCTGCGCACGAGCGAGACGTGTGCGTTAATTGACAAAGCGGCGTGGGTGACATCATGAATTCCGACACGTTACGTGGTCTACCACGGGGGATTAGTCGATCTCAGTCAATCGCAATAATGCACCGAAGGTGCATCGACGCTGTGATTGTATTTTAGATGTGACGTTTCGGCGCACGGGGAGGGACGGGTTTTGGTAACAATCGGAAACATTCATCGCGATTAGAAACCTCGACGAATCAGCCCCTTTGCTCTTTGATGACATATTCTCATTATTTCGAACGTCATCCCTCTAATACACTCCATAGACAATCCATTTTACGTAAATCGTGGAAACAAAGTTTTGTTTTCTAAATACACACACGTGTTCTATTCTTTCTCGATCGACATTCGTATTTCCACGAGATTTAACGATCGATGACGCAGTTAGCAACTATCCACCGCGAATTAGGTTTTCATGAAACGCCCTAAAAGCCTCGACGCAGGCCCGTAAAGACTAATATCGCTCGAGCAACTTCAGCCCTGATAAAAGTTAACGCACTTACGAAGGGTGCAAGCAAACTACAACACAAACAGCGGTTGTATTCGGGCAGGCATTCCGCGAGCTTCTGTAATCCGAAACCAGAAAGTGTCAATATTGAACGAGCATTAAAGAATCTAAAGTCAAAGATATTGACTTGCTTTTAGAGTACCCGCGTTGCACGAGCCCCGTTAATGCCCTCGGATATCTCTTTCGTTGCGAAAAACTCGTTTAAAAAAACTATGTACCGTTCGCCCTTCGAATTAAACGGGAATTCTAATTTTTGAAGCGGCCGATTCGTCGGGACTCGTTTACATTTTATTTCTACGACGTCGAATTTTTAATTAGAAAAGTTCCCTTTAAACAAATTTAAAATTGGCTATCGATAGTACATATCCTTTGCATAGACAATTTAATAAGTACTTACACATGTGATAGAGTAACAGGTTCTTCGTGGTTCCATTGTACTTCTGGAAAGCTCGATTCGTCGGTGCGAACAGGGTCACGTGACGATACGTTAGGGTAGTGTTCGCTATTTGACTGGCCTCCAGCAATTGGTAGAACTGTAACAAAAGCGTGAATATATTATTAATTATAAGCTTCGATGTTCTATGGACTATAGAATTCGTACAGGATAGAGTTAAAGGTTTCTGGATCGCAAGAAAATATTTTATTTCGCCGCAGGGGTCGTATAAATTATATTCTTGTTCTTAAAATTATATTTTCTGTCTCGATCGACGTTTTGGAAGCTTCACCGAGATAAAGTTAAACGGGTATATCGTCGAGTTACCGTTCATTGATTTATTCGATCTCGATATTCTGAAATTTCTAGGCGATGGACGTCGATGCAAACGTTTTGACGCGTCGGTGTCGCAATTAAAAAAGCAAAAGGGCGACGGGCACATCGATTTCCCGTCAGGGGTCGACATATCTTCGCGCTGGGATTAACGCAGGGATCAAGTAACTCGAGTCACGGCGGATTAAATGCGCGATTGTACGTGCCGAATTAGTGATTCACGTTCCGCTCGGGCAAAGGCGTTTAATCCGGCGCGTCGAATGAAATTTGCCAGGGTCTTTCGTCTCCGCGAAAATTTGCACAAAGGAACCTCGTTAGTTATCAATGCGTAATTAACCCCTGCGCGATGTCGATCCCCGGCCCTCGAGTCACGTTTCTTCGCCGAAATGGAAAAACACCGGAAAAGCGACGGAATACGTTTTCGCCCCGAAGAAGGACCGACCTTTCATTAACTTCTGTTCCACGACATCTTCCATTTCATAGAATTCTTGAATTACTATACATCCGTGACTAAAATACGCGTTGTTTGCCTTTTGAAACTTTAAAATCGCCCAACCCGTTCAGGAGTTATGATATTTTAAAGATACGCCTGAATTTTCAGTGGAATATATCAATGGTATGGTCAGACCTTATATAAGGAATTTTTTTCACGAAACTGCGTAAGAATTCGAGGTTATGTCTAATGACCAAAAATGATTCAAATTGACCCCCGCAACTGAAAATAATTTTTTTAGAACGATTTGAAATTTCTTAATTTTGTCGAAAAATTTCACACCTTCTCGAATTTTTTTCTCAAAACTGGGTAAGATTTCGAGGTTATGTCTAATGACCAAAAATGATTCAAATTGATCCCCACGACTGAAAATAATTTTTTTAGAACGATTTGAAAAAATGTGAAAAATTTCAGTGAAACATATCGACGGTATGGTCAGACATCATATTTTCGGTAAAGAATTTTTTTCTCGATGGTGCGTAGGAATTCGGTGGTATGTCTATTGACCAAAAATGATTGTACTGGACCCCCGCAGCTAAAAATAATTTTTCCAGAATGGTTTAAAATTTTTTAGATTAATTTTTTTAATAACTTTTTAACGAGGCCTGAATCAAGGCTGAATTCGTAATAAGCGATACAATTTTTGCGTGTGAAAATTGTGACGGCGAATTCTCATAACAGACATTTAAGTGGACCGCCATTCGAACGTTTTATCAATGGAATACTGTTTGTTGGGCTTTTTCGCGAGGTCCCGATTGGTCATTAGCTTCTTCCGAAGCCGCAAAAAGAGGCGACTGTCTGGCTGAAATTGATGGTTGAATCTCCTAACTGTGTGTCGACGACAATTCTGACTCTCCAGAAAAGTGTTCCCTGAGAGTTTAATTTACTACGATGCAGAAAAATTTGTTTTGAAGCCTGATCAAGCTTAAAAACTAATCAGTGTTTTTCTATACGTTGGATTACGATTTTTACCGATTCAACTTTGGGAACTCTTTTCAACACGAACGTTCGTCGATAAAAAAAAAGAAGTACGAATATTTTTAAATGCATTAGTTTCTCTGAAGTTCCATCGAATCGACGATTTCCATTTTGCTATAGATTTTGTTCGTCAAGTGCGTGTCGACCCGATGAATTTTCGAAACCGATTGTTTCCGTGGAAGGCATCGAGAGAAACTAAAACGTAAAATGAATTCGTTGTGTGGGTGCCTTTGTTTCTGACAAACATTTCGTTCTACATTTTCGAGTTGTTTTGTTGAATTATTCTGTCATGTTACGCATCCGCCTTTGGGGGGAAAACAGATATTTCCCATGGCAATGATATCAGTTAAAATTTTAATGGAACGTTCAACAAAGAAATGTTTTATGCGCATATCGCGTAAATAAGTGTTGTTCTTCGTCTCGCGTTTAAAACGTTGCGCCACTTTGAAGAATTTTTGAAAGACGCGTGCTCCGCCGAGTCCAAACATCTCTTCTTCGGTTCCCGGCTCGCGTTCGACGTTTCTCTTTTTCAAGGCTGCCTTTCGAAGCAGCTATATCAAATTGTTGCCGACGGGATAGCCTTTGATTTATAAAACTTAGTTTGCTTTGAGCCGTCTGCCTTCCAACGTAGTTTCAAAGAGTATTCGGACTCTTTATCCTGCGTTATTCTATGCTTTGCAGAAAACCACTTATTGACGTCCTCCTCCTTCGGAGCCTCGCGAAATCTCAAACCTGGACCATATTTCTGCCTTTGAAACTCTAACTCGTAATCGAAAGAAATTCGAATTAAAATGTGTTATAAAATAAATTCGAAATATGGGATATTATATTTGGTAATTATTTAACAGAGGGTGTCGTATCGATCAACTTCGTCGTGTTTCAACGATCGACAATCTGTCGTTTCGAAAAGTCTGGTTAAGTCGTAGATCGACTGCTTGAAGCAACACTGCACGTTCGAACGAGGAACAATGCGATGATGTTTGTAAACGTCGTTACAGCTGCCCTACTTCCGGACCCTTAGGACATGCTAATTAAATCGGCTAATAGCCAGCACTGCCTTGGCCGCCCATCAATCGATTTAACAACAAATTTAATTGGACGTTGCCCGTTGAACGGGAAAAATAATTATCTCGTCCAAAGGTTGGTCTCCTGTAACGCAATGAAAAGTTCCAAGTGACTCGTTAACTCATTAATTTTGTCATTTTCTGAATTCTAACTGAGAAATAGGTAGTTCCGAATATAATGGTTGGATCCTGAGAATTTATTTTTTACACGTGAGAAAAGAGCTTTATTTAAGAGGTCGAGTATATTATTTGCTTTTAATATTCGAGCAGAAATTTTGGTTTTCGAGGATCGAGACGATGCACTTGTTTTCGCCAAAATGAATTAAATTCGATTGTCGTTTGGTTTGATAAGCCCGCGGGGCATTTCTTGCAAACAGATAGATATAAACCAAAATTATCGCGCAACTCGAAGGATCGATCATTATGGAATATACAACTACGTAGATCCACCGCATCCTGATTCTGCTGCCACTAATTAATCTGAAATTTCCTGCGGGCTTCGTCGAGCGGATTGTACAGTTAATAGACCACAGTCTGAATTCGCATTGCCAATTATCTCAACGTATACTAATTAACATAGATAAGCTGAAATATAGGGTTGTTTGGTTATTAATAAAAGATCCACTTATTTCGCGAAATTCGATCATCGAAACATATTTCATCCATGCAATAGTGGGAGCAGTTGCGTTTCTAGAGCCATCCTTTTGAAGTGTACGTAAGATATCGATTTCGTTTGTATTAAATTAAATGATTCGAGGCGCTAATATTTCGTGGAATTTATTTTTTATTTGGCTTCCATAATTATTCGTACAAATATGGCTTTCTCTCAAATAAATCGACCTTAAAGTTCATTCAAGCGCAAGTAGTAGTATTTTCTAATTTTCTAACGAATTTAATATTTTATGGTGTCGACGTAGAATAATATAATCCGAAATGAAGCAGACACGTTCGTGTTCGTGCACAACACCATATTGATGGAGTGTAATATAACAGAGAGACATCGATGTAACGCGCTCCTCGAAAATTTATGGACTTACGCGGGCATCACTCGTCCAGGAAAATGAATATACACGGTCAGTGCTTGCTCGTACACGGCTACCAACTACAGGATCCAACAGATCTCATCAGGTGGGATAAATTACTCTAAAATCTCCTGTCGATCTGTTGCGAGGTTCGGCGAACTCGGAAATTCGGAGCTTATGACGTGGAATTGTTCGAAATGTGTTTCGTGTCAAGTTTGTTATAAAATCATAATACTCTGATTTTAGCCCCGGGGGTTGAAGAATCTTCTCGTCCCTCGTGAAATATTTTTATTTTCCAAGCGTTTCAATATTCTCACGGAAAGCTTGTAAATCAGACGAAATGGGAGGTCTCGGGTTTGTTAGAGTCTCTTTATTCGTCGAGTGGAGTGGTCCCTATTTTTCCACGATTTCCCAATAATAATTCATACGAGTGTCCATCAGCCTTTTCTTCGAGGCGGTGGCAAGACGTATCGATGGCGCATCGGAGTAAGTGCATCGAGATATTGAGATGTAAGCCACGTATTCAATATAAGAGCTTTCACCGGGTTCGGGCGGCCTCCAATCCTTCTCCAACCCCCCCCTCGTCTAGCCGTTCTGCACCCAACTCTGCCTCCCTCGGGCAACATTTCCAACAAACGCGCACCCGACCAATTTACAACGGAGCCGGTTCAACGGCGCGTGCAATAACGCGGCGAATAATGCATCCGCGCCACGCTCGGGATGTGCACCGTGCATCGCGTTGCAACGACAGAGACGACATCGAACCGCAAACGGTCTGCGCTCCTCGACAAATTCAAAGAGAATGCTATCGTTCCGGCCGTATCGTGAAATTTCACGTTCGTCGATCTCAGACACGCTTGGGCGAAATTAAAAAAATCCAATAAATTTTAGAAACTTAAATCTCAGGAAACGATTTCCACATTTAAAAAGGCTCGTTCTTTACGCCAAGTGGCCGGAAAGTAAAAAAAAAATATAGTCGCTTTCGCGGGCTTTAAGCAGACAGTTTCTTTGGGAAAAGTGTCCAAAAAGAAAAGGCGGAATGACGAACGGGATAAGTTACGGAGACGCAAAACGACGAGCCCCGAAATTTATTCGCGACGGTTCGTTTGTTTCCAAACAAAATTTAAGTCCGGGCGAACGCGCATTCGAGACTCCGGGTTGACGTGGCTCCGTACGTCCGTATAATAATATAATATGCAAATTAATAGTG